CTAGAGAACATCATGCTAAATGAAATAAGCCAATCCCCCAAAACCAAAGGCTGAATGTTTTCTCTGAGAAACGGATGCTGATCCATAGTGGGGGGTGGGTAGGGAAGAACGAAGGAACTTTGAATTGTGCAGAGGGGAGCGAGGGGAGTGGTGGAGCTGTCAGGATGGGAAGGACGGTGGAGTGAGACAGACATTATTACCCTACATACATGTATGATTACACCACTGGTGTGACTCTGCAGCAGGTACAGCCAGAAGAATGAGAAGTTGTGCTCCATCTGTGTACAATGTGTCAAAATGCATTCTAGTGTCATGTATAAGTAATTAGAACAAATTTTTTTAAAAAAAATATAAAGAAGACCAGTAGAATAGAGAAAGGGAAATCAGAGGGAGGGAGAGGAGGGAAAGGGAAAAACTGGGGAATGAAACTGATCAAATTATACTGTTTTACTGTGTGCATGTATAAATATATTATAACAAATTAAAAAAAACAAAAAAAGAAAAAAATAAAGTAGGAATGCTTACTTTTAGAAAGAGGATTTACCCTGACCCCAACCCCGGGAAGTATTTCTGAACTTAAAGGCACTATTTCTCAAGTTTACCTTCCACATTATTGATCCCATATTCCATGGTATCTCATTTAGTTTTATGCACTCATTCTTCGCCGCACAGGAGGCTACTTGAATCTTCTCAGACTACAATCCAGCCCTGGGTTAATAATGACAACCCATAAACTAGTGGTTCTTGACCTTGACCGCACATTTCATTTACCTAGGGAGGTTAAAACATGTTGGTGCCCATTCTCCAGCCCAGACTTTCTGGGAATGGGTCCTGGACCCTGGAATATTTTCAAAGGCGACTTAACATGATGTCAGGACTAAGGAGATACAGTGCATGTGAACTATGACCACCATTCCTTCTTGACCCAGCCCCCAGGCTTGTCTGCAGCCCCTCATGTGGGGACCATGCTGCCCAAGTTGTACTAACATCCATTGTCTCCACTTCTCTTGAGGAACCTCTCTCTCTCCAAGTGGAACATAAAGAATTGGGGACAGCAGTCTGGGTTTAGCAGCTGGATAACTCAGGGGTCACATCATAGTTTCCTGAACACCATGTTTTCTGATCAGGATCTCGTAATCCAAGAAACACGGATTTTTTTATTGGCTGTATTTATTGGTGTCTCTTCATATTGCTCTATGAGAATCCTTCTCCTTTATTGATGATTGAGTTAGTCATGTTTGGACAATTCTGTGTGTGTGAAAGACTTCAAGTCTAGGTCAGTATCTAGAAGCAATCAGGAGTAGCTTGTTCTATTTATGGTCCACATTGATCACTGCTTCTTGCTGAGTGGTGCAGTGGAAGATTTAGATCAGAAAGATGATGATTGAACCCATAACGAAAGCATCTAGGTTGAAGAAATTATTAGGCCTAGAAACATTTGGCCTTAGGCATGCTTCCTTATTTTTTTCTGTAAGATTTCATATTATTTCTATGGCATTTTATTCACGAATTTCAGAAAATATTTAGTGAACATGAAGTCATACAAAGAACAATGCAGGATGCTCAGCAGGTGAGTAAACAGATTCTGCTTTCAGAGATTTTAAGATTAAATCAGGTTGGAAGGATGGAGTCCTACTCCAAGATGACTGGTGTCTGAAGAACAAAAAGAAGAAAGAAGAGGAGAAGGAGGAGGAGAAAGAAGAGGAAGAGGAAACCTCAGAGAGTTCTTTGATTCTTTCTTATACCCCCAGCCCACCGCCACATGATGTGCAGGAGAAAAGGCCACATGAAGATACAGCAAGAAGGCGGCTGTCTGCAAGGCAGGAAGGGAGGCCTCACCAAAACCTCTTGAGCCAACAAGCCCTTTATTATTTTTGATTTTGAGATAGCATCTCACTAAGTTGCCCAGGGTAACCTTAAACTCAAGATGCTCCTGCCTCTGTCTCCTGAGTTGCTGGGATTACAAGTGTATGCTACCATGCCTGGCCTTATTAGCTGGTTTTGAGAATCAAATGGAAGAAATAATGCCTGACCACACAGGGCAATAATTCAAAGAAAATAAAATGATGAATGGGAAATATAAGGCACCAGGAGAGTTATAAATGAGTCTTTAAAATGAAGAAGCACACAAACGATACAGGTAAAGAAACAGCAATAGATGACAGAGTTCAATAGATGCTTGGAAATCAAACAGTAGGTAGAGCATGGCACCACCAATTCTTGCTACAAAACCTGGACTCCCAAGCACCAGAGGCAGGGAGTAACAGGGCAGCATTTGGAGCTAGAACCAAGGGACCAGGTAAAGATGTCTACACATCAGCTCTACTCTCCTCCATCCCACGGGCCTGGGCCAACTGAATTGGAAAGACATAGAAGGTAAAGGACACCAGACATGGTCAAGGGTGGGACAAAAGGACTAAAAGTTTTATCTAGGGGGAATTAAGTGAAATCTTGCACCCTGAACTGAGGATCTCCCCTGCAGTCTCCCTTTCCCAGCCCTCCCCAGAAAGCTGGTCACCAGATGTGCACTCTCTAGGAAAGAGACTGAAGAAAGAACCTGTGAAGAAGATAAAGGTCCCCAGACTGAAAAGTTATTGTGAAAATTATTGGGATTGCAGCCTCTGGCTGTTGGATCTCATTTCTCACCTTGCTATCATGTTCATATGACCAACTCATCCATTGTACCCATAAAGAACACAGAAATTATCATATACCAAAACCAGAAGGTGTTCTTTGATGCTTGGTGAAGGGGAGATGAAAGTGGCTTTCAGGAAGATAGCTCGAGTTCACTCAAATGTCATTTTAGAGATGTGTAAGAAGTATGTGGCCTAGAGGATTTGTAATGAGAGATAGGAGAATACAAAACTGCCTCTTTGTGTGTCAAAGCCTGTGATGTAAATTTCTTCATTAAACTGAATCAATATTTAAACGTCTTAGACACTATATCAATGTTGATTTTTTTTTTTTTTTATGATTTGAGGCTACTAAAGAGAGAGACCCAATATAACCATAAGGGAGGAAAGCGGAACAGGAAGGCTGGATTTCTGCAGCTTCTGGAATCAAGCTCTGGCAAAAATCTCTAAAAGAAAGTTGTTCTTGGTTTTCTGGGCAGAATTTGGCTTAAGTGAGGATACCTCTTTACATTAGAGTCAGATTTAGAATTAAGGAGAGAAAAGCTTGAGAAAATAAAAGCATCCGATTGATATTTTTAAAAAAAATATTTATTTTTTAGATGTAGATGGACACAACACAATGCCTTTATTTTTATGTGCTGAGAATCGAACCGGGTCCCGCCCGTGCTAGGGGAGTGCTCTTCTGCTGAGCCACAATCCCAGCCCTCAGATTGATATTTTTGATTGTCAAAAAGGAATTATTTTAGATTAGGTATTTTAGGCATTTATAATACTAGACTTTGGTGAACTATAAATGAAAATTTTAAACTCCACTTAAAATGTATAGTCAATATTAGCTTTCAGTTTGTAATTCTAGGTTGAATTGGAATATTTGAGATAACGTTAGATTCAACATATTCATAAATTTAATATTTTAAACATATAAAAAATGATTTGTGCTCAGGAAATTTTTGCTTATTTCAGATAAATGAATACTTAAAAAGAAAGTTGAATCTGTTAAGTTTATATGTGCACTTAAAAATATTTCAAAGTATCTAGTGAATGATACTGGTAACTGGTCCAACTATCATTTGAAAACCCCTTCTAAGGTATGTAAAACTTATAAATAGAATTATTAAACATGTGTAAGTACAAGTCACAAGCTTAAAAAAGAATGAGGATTTTAGAAATTGTTACTTTTATAAATTGAATATTAAACCTGTTTTCGAAGAGTCAAATCCCCCTCCCCGGTGATATTTTCTGTTGAACAAAAGCAATCACTAAAGACAGTAAAAAACTGGCAGCCATTCGCTGACATTTTGACAATTTGTCAAACTGTCAGATCTCCCACTGATCATCTTACAGGGAAAATCCTTCCATTGACAACCGCACCCATGAACAATCCGACCTTCAGTGTCTCAATTTTAAATATAAACAGAGAACAATCGTTAGGCGCTGCCTGTTGCTGACATCCATTCCCCCTTTTCCTGACTTTAGTGAACACTGGTTTTATTCAGGCTGCAGTGTGCCCACATACCTCCACAAAGGTCCTTGTGGCTAGGGTGGTCACATGGCATACTTTAGTAAATGAGCTATCAAAGTGCATTTCCTTGCATGAGGCTTTCAGGAACGGTTTTGAAAAGTCCAGACTAAACTACATCTACACTTTGTGCTTTTTAATCTTTCCTCCCCCCACCCCCTTTGTTCCATCTGGAATGTAGGGGAAGCAGCCATCTCTCAGTCTTAAGACAAAACCTCCATAATGGAATGGGTGACTGGGAAGAGGCTTGGTGATTTGGTTAAGAAAGTAGAAGAAAAACTAGACCCTGCTTGATTCAATCACCATAGGTATAGTGACAGAATAAAATCACCCTGGTTGAAAACACAGAACATTTATTCGGGGCTAATAGGATGGTAATCTTGTAAAACACAGAATCAAGCAATCTTGAAAATGTTCTCTGAAGTTTTAAAAAAAATGATAGCTGTATTTATGGCTTTAGATCACAAAGGAGTTGGAAATGACATCACTTGTTAGTAAAGAATGATGATGGGAGCTGTCAAAAGTTAAGCTGCCTTGTAAGAAAGGGACTGGTGTGGTCTGGTGGTCTTAGTGTCTGGATATTTTGGGGTAAGGGATCTGTTGTATAGAAAAGCAACAGAGGTTAATAATGTTTGAAAGGTCAACTTGCATGGAGGGGAGGGAGGTGAGTGTGTCTGCAACTCAGTTCAAAATCAGCTCTGATTTCCCCGAGATCTGAAGAACAATGGCCTCCCAATTCATTTTTAAGTGCCCAAACTCATGCTATTACATTTTTTTTTGACAGATAGCTTTCTGTTGCTTTCAGGTTAAGCCCAGTTTCAAAGGACACAGCTTCAGATATGAAGAAAAATACTGAGCAAAAATAATAAATCAAAAGGAATACAGAGTTCAAAGAGAACACCAGGAACCGAAGAAAATTCTGAAATAATTATCCTCAGGTTCATTTATTTAACCAATATTTGTAGAGTGTCTTTTAAGTGTCTATTATAAAAGCCAGTCAAGAGATTAAATAAAATGTTACATCTATAAAACAAGAATAGAATATCATGAAAAAAACCAAGAAAACTGATAAAAGACATAAAAGAAATCTTTAAGACATTCAGCATCAAAAGAATGAGTTCCAGAAAGAAAGAAAATGATGGAGAGCAATATTAAACCAGTGAAAGAGACACAGTTTTCTTATGGAGAGGGCTCAGGGAGAGCGAAATACAAGTGGAAAAAAATTATCTCCTCCAAAATGATATCATACTATCATAGGTAAATCAGAACTCTTGAACTCTACCAAAGAGGGGGAAAAAATCAAAATCTGGATGGACCTTTTTAAAGAGCAACACTGGGTGTTAGAAGACAAAAGAGAACCACCTTCAAAATTCTGAGAGAGAATAATATGCAACTCAGGATTCTGTTGGCAGTCAAAGTATTGTTCAAGTGAAGAAGAAATAAAGACGTGGAGTGAAGAGCAGAACCCATGGGTATTCTTTTATGGAAAACAAGGGCTGGATGTGCTCAGGAAACTGAGGGAGGAAACCAAGAAAGAGAAAGACCTGGTGTCCAAGGAATGGCTTGCAACACAGAAGAGCACAAAGGGAAGTCTCTGAGGATGTTGTGGCAGATTCAGGAAGTCAGCCCTCCCAGCCTGAGGAAGAATGAAGGCTCCAAAAGGAATCTAGAGGAAATAAAGGGTCATGATATCAAGTTATCTGATATAATGGAACATTCCCAAAGGAAACGCTCTAGACATATGGTAGGTTGGATGGATCGTGTGAAAAAAATTATAGGTACATGAAGCCCAAGTGAATGAATAAAACCAGGGGATGAGTAGTTTCAGGAAAATGAAAAATTATACAGGAAAAAAGTAATCCTCCACTTGCCTCTGAATTAAATATGATATGCGTAACACAATAATGCTAGCATGGATTATATGGAACAAAACCTAATTTGCAAAAATTTTTAGAAGGATAGGAGCAAAGGAAGTGGGTCTTATAATTTTGAATTATTTTAGCAGGAGATCAGTAGAGTCTAAAACTTGGTGGTATGAAAGTATTTGTAAATACATACAGGTTTCGTTCAGGAGAGAAAATCAAAATATGCAAAATAAATTGCATCTGGAGAGCAGGTATAGGGACTGGGAGGGTCTGGGGCCAGGGTTATAGTTCTTTATCTAAATCTTTTAATATGACTGAATTGCAAAATGATTTGTAGGTGAATTGTTGTCTACCCTTGCATCTCTCACTCTACATGCTGCTTCAGATTCTCTCTGCTTCATCTGTGTTATTCAAACCTCAGCCATGGTAACCAGACGTGCACAGGATCTGACCGGCTTCCTGTAAGTACAATCTGAAATAATCTTGCCTCAGGCCCATGCCCTGTGCTTGTTGCTTAATGTCCTTGGGCTTCTCTATGAAGTCCTAGGCAAGAGCCACTGTGGAAATCTGCTCGTATCTCCTGTGTTTGCAACATGGAGAGGCAAGGAAATATAGAGTCCATAACAAACTTCTAAACAATGGGGCTCCTGAACATGTGTATGAATCCTTTCCTCTTCCTTCTCCTGGATGGATAGTTCCAAGACAGGTTGCATGACCATCTCCAGGAGAGAGCAAGCAGTCACCTTCAGTCATGGCCTTGGCCAATGCCTCTTGGCACTGGCTCTCCCTCCTCCCCTGCTCCATCCTCCTGACACCTTATTATTAGAGGATTTTCCCCAACCAGCTTGGGTCTCAGGCTTTGCTTTATGACAAAAACCAAGTTGAGTCTAAAACAATTAATAGCAAGTAAACAACTGCAAAATGAAAATGAATCAAATAACCCTCTTAAGAAAAAAAGAGCTAAGTGGCTAATGATAATAAAATATGGAAATGAAAAATATAAAAGCAGAATTTGAAAAATAGAAGGTAAATAAACAAAGGAAAATTAATGGTTAGAGTATATAATTATGAGTTATTTCAGCAAAACTAGAAGTGGAAGGAGCAAGGTAATAACAAGTGGGAAATTCACCATTGTTCTCTTTGCAATGAGGGGTGGATAGGACTTCGACTTGATAGAATAGTCATTATACAATTTAATTTCATACCTCAATGGAAAATAGAAGTTTAAATATGACAATAAAGATGGGTAAGTACCCATCAATAGAATAGAGAAATGTAATAATAATTGCAGATTAATGGAGGGGTTGGGGTTAGAATAAGAAAAACAACTTCAAAAATTCTAGTGTTTTGAATTCTAGGGAAAAAAATACAAATCAGGAGCAACAAGTATAACAAATAGAAAACAAGAAAGATGGTAGAGTTCAAATGCACACATCGCTTAATCCAATACTCATAAATAGGTTGAATTCTCCTTCCTAAAAATCCAGTCTTAAGTTTTGAAAACCAAGCAAACAAAATTTACATCTATATAAAAGTTTATAAGAGATCTACCTAGAAATAAATAATGGATAAACGATGGTTTCTAATAATCAAATATATACCAGGTTAATGTAAACCATTAAAAAAACAAGAAAGATGATACTTCACAATAAAGCTTAATGCATCGTCTGAGCCCTGAAACAAAGAAAATTACTAGACTTTGGCTGTCTCTGTTTCTGCCCACGCCCCCTCCAGCTTGGTGTAATGAGAAGGAGAAGGAGAGGAAGAGCAAAGCCAACTGTTGTCACTGAGTGGATGCTCTGAGCTGGAAGCTTCTATGTGCTATCTACATTTCCTGATTTTTTTTAAAATGCAATTTCAACACAAGCCCTGCGCAGAGGAAATACCACTCCATTTTGCAAGGACCGGACAGTTACTCTCGTGTTCAGTATCTGGACTTTCCGATTCCTATAACTCCACCAAGAAAATCCCCTGCCTTTCCTTGGAAGGAACTGTACCTTCTGCCCTCAGATTCAAGGCCACATTCCTATCTCTGGGTGGCTGTCTTCCACATTGGTGGTAAAATGAGGACTGTCACACTGACCCACTTCCCAGCAGGGCCGTGAGACGCAACAACTAATTACAAAGGCTAATAAAATATTTACAGAGCTTACAGCACACTTTGGAAGTGCAAGGGCTTACTTAATAAAAATAATGACAGGACTAGATAAACAGCGCTCAGAGCCTAGCGCCACTCTGGAGAAGAGTAAACAACTTGCCAGGGTAATTTCAAGCTCTATTAGATGCTTGCAGCAAATATCACTGTTATCCACGAGGAGAGAAAACTTACCATGTAGGAAATCTTGACTGAAGACCACAGCCCAGCCGTGCAGAGCAATGTGGTTTGATTAAAATGAGCAGTGACCTTTTGTGAAAGCGCTGGTATCCCTGGGCCTTTTCAAAATTCAGTAAGATAGAAGTGAGCTGCCTTCATGCCACCTTGGGCTCAAGCTATCTCCGGGGCCTTGCTTTTTTGGTAAAAAGAAAAAAGACCCCCATCTCTAGGAATCTAAAGTCGAGGCTGTTCTGGGATGGCTGAGCCAAGTGTCAAGTGAAGGAGGCAAATCTGGGTGAAGAAAATAAGATTTTGGATCTTTTTAGGGAACACTAGAACAAGTGGCATGGCCCCTTTACAAAAAGAAGGCCATTGTATGAGAATTTCCAGACACAGAATCCACACCAGGTGCAGAGGCAGTTGAAAAGCTGAAATGAGCACATAGGAGACAGGAGGGCGACCCAGAGACTGGCAACCGAAGGCTGGAGGACCTAAGGTGGGAGCGATGTTTCTAGAGCCTAGGAGACAGAAGCTGGACCCACCAAGAAGGTGTAGCCACTGTCAGAGACTTAAGCAGAGAGAGGAGGGGAGAGATCCCAACTTCTCCTTTCTTCCCTCCTATCCACTAATCTTCTATTAGTGTCACCCGTTGGCCAAACCTAAGCAGAAGCTGGTAGATAAGGAGGTCTAGGAAGGGTAATTTTCGTGGCTGGCACCTGTGGCTCAGAGAAAGGGAGGCTCCTGGGGCCAGGGTCAGGTGTCCAATACAGAGCATGGGCATTTGGAAATAGAGGCCAGGCATGGTCATCTCAGTCAGAGGGGATGCTAGAGTATCACTAAGAACAATGAGAAGCACTAAAGTTTCCTAAGCCAGAAATGACCTTACCCATCCCAAGTGCTGGATAAGCAGTAGATCAGGAGCAGGTTAGGCACTCTGGTCTCCTAACTCCCGGTCTAGCTAATGACCCCTCCTCTGCTATGCCTGGTGCTGGGCTGTACCCACTATGCAGGAAAACAAGCCCACCAATCAAGGACAGGATGGACAAGCCAGTGCTGGCCACCTGGGGAAGTGTAGGAAATCATCCAGCCTTTTACTGCTTCAAAGGTAGCCTTTTCCTAACTTGTTAAATGGATCCTAATGCCACCAAGGCATGGAATTCCAGTTACAGAAAGTCACCTTTGCTTCCGCAAAGAATGACCAACACCACCCATGGGTCAGCCAACAGGGTAAGGGGTTAAGAACATTTGAGTCTGTCCATCAGCTGGAGGACCCCAGAGAGCTGTGTAGGAAGTTCCAGATAAGTCCTCCTTTAGTTTTCCTTCCCAAGAATGGTGTTTAAAATTGTAAACTCTTGTATGAATCCAGTATGAGAGTTAAGTTCATGGGGTATTAACTTAATGGCTCACTTGAGTCTTGGACTAATTTTGTTCCTGTGATTGGGGGATGATATTTGAAACTCCAAACTGGGAAGCGAAAAGTAATTCATTTCCATTGACTCTGTGTCCATAGACTGCATTGCTGGGAACTGATCTTTCCTTGAGGTGGGCAGGAGGTGGGATTTCATAAACCTGCAGAGAGTTAGAAAAATTGATTACCTAAAATTGCATAATTTGCTAGTGGTAAAACTGGAGACCAGAATCCAGGACTCGAGGCCGGTCGGAGTCATGCCCATGGGGACACAAGGAGAGCTCCTGGGCTACATCAGTGCCTCCGGACCCCCCCCCCCCCGCCACATATTCTGATCAGATGTTATTTTTCTTTTCAGATAGTTTGACAGCAACTATTCATTCCTGACTCCCACAGACATGGTACTGTTTTTTTTTTTTTTTTCAAGAGCTTCAAGAGTTTGAAAATGGAATCCTTATCCAAGAAGCTGACCTGGCGTAACTCTTCTGAGGATAAAATGAGAGAATGCATTTCCTGGTGCCCAGCTGGAAGGAGCTTGGGCGTTGTACTCTGCGGTGGAGTTGTCACTGCTGGTCACAGTCTTCGTGGTTGTGCCAGTTTGTGACCATTTGTCTTTCCCAGGGGCTGGTTGGCGTGGATCCTATCTGGGATCTCCTTTGCCCCTGTTCTCTATTTGGTGTGGCTTATGGGAGGCACCGGCAGGGAAGTGGAGGGGAGGGGAGCTGCAGTTGGGGTATTTACTCTACTGCTTTCCCCTTGCCAAACAGCACACCAGAGTCCTAAGGTCCTCTCCCAAAGTCATGGGGAATCTTGTGTAATAATCACAACCTCAATTTTGCTGACTCAGGACTCAGGTGGGTGACAACTCCCCACAGTTAGGACCCCCAGGTGCTTCCTTTTCTCTTGTTAAGAAGCCAAGCTTCCTAACCCTGTCTACACCCTCAAAGGATGACCTGTTTTCCTTTCCCCCATGACTCCATTCAAATGTGCTCTCCTTCTCCTTTCTGGATCTTGTCTGATCCAGCAAATGAGTAAACTTTATTTCACAGTTAAAAAAAAAAAAAGATTTGAAGACTCTCAGGACCTGTTTTTGGCTAGTGGTGGTCTGGGCACAACTGTGTCTCTGCTATTTCATCTTTTTATACTTATCTGGGTTAGGGAGAGGAAGCTGGGGGGAATTTGAAACAAGAAAAATAACCAGGCAATTGATGTATGGCCTGTGCATACAGATTTCTAGAGTCTGATGGATTAAAAATACTCTGTTCTGGGGCTGGGGTTGTGGCTCAGTGGTAGAATGCTTGCCTACCATGGGTGAGGTGCTGGGGTCAATCCTCAGCATCATATAAAAATAAATAAATAAAATAAAAGTATTATGTCCAACTACAACTTTAAAAAAGTTAAATAAAATAAAGTTAAATGGGGATGGGATTGTGGCTCAGCGGTAGAGTGCTCATCTAGCACGGGCAGAACCAGGGTTCGATCCTCAGCAACACATAAAAATAAAGGCATGGTGTTATGTCCATCTACACCTAAAAATAATAATAATAAATAAATAAAGTTAAAAAAAGAATACTCTGTCCTGCTATAGCTACAGTATACTTATGTGCCAGTGTTGAACATCTAAATCCCAGACACCTCTCTCTTGTAACAAGAGATTCTCAAACAGGTACCATACCCAGACCATTTCTTATGATTTTAAGTTGTCTTTTCTAACATATGTACATATATGCATATGTGTATGTGTGTGTATATATATATATATATATATAATGCAATATTATTCTTGAGGTTGTCATTTCATTATAATGCCCCAATTCTAGATTTCAAATTAACTAAAAGCAAAAGGAACAGGGGGATTCCAAATCATTCCACCTAACTCTCAGCTCACTGCTGAACATTTGACCATTAGTTGCCCACAAATGACATGGCTGAACTGAGTCCTAATCTGTGGCATGTGTTTTTGTAATGCTAATTGAACATAAAGGAACTCTTAAGGGTAAGATCAGCTTTAGGTAGGTCTTCCATTAGACCGGCGTAGCAGTGGTGAACTGATGGCTTTCAGGGCCAACCCTCCATGTAGAAAGCGGATTTGTCCCCATGGTTTTGTACCCTAAGCTAATAGAACTGCTGGTAGAGAGAAGAATGCAAAAAAAAAAAAAAAAGTGGTTCAATCCTGCTCAGTGATGTTTGAGTCTTATAGATAAACACTTGCAGCTATTAAAAATTATCATCATGATCAAAATTCCTGCAGAATAAACAGGATATTACTGTTGAGTATCTGAAACTCTGCAGCCCTGACTCCCTTCCCTCCGAAATGTTTCTGTTTATGGGTTCTTTTGCAGCAAGACTTATATAGTCACTGTATTACAGTAGAACAAACCTGGAGAAAGCAGAATCCTACCCTCCCATTTTCTTTGGTTTGCTAGAATCTGTACAGGAACTTACCAGTCAGGCATCACACTTACATACTCAATGGTATTAGGATCCTTATGTGACAGTGGTTGGTAATAATGTCCTAGACATGTTCAGAAGGATCTTGTATTAAGGTTCTCTGACGAAACAGAACCAACAGAATGAAATATAGGTTTAGATATATAGAGGGGAGATTTTAAGAATTGTGGGGGCTAGCAAGTTTGAAATTTGTGACAAAACAGGCCAGAGCTGATAATGCAATCTTCAGGATAATATCTTGTGTGCTGGGAAAACTTTGCTCTTAAGCCTGAAATTGATTAAATGAAACCTATTCACAATATGGAGGGTAATCTGTTAAAAGTCTGCTGATTTAATGTTGATCTTAACAACCAGTCAACTGGTTGTTAGTATCTAAATAAATACATTCACAGCAACATCCAGACCAGCATTTGACCAGACAACTGGGAACCATAGCCGATCCAAGCTGACACATGACCTTGGCCATCACAGCTATTAACATAGGTCACTATCAATAAATTAGCAAATATTGGAAGGGATCTTGTCTCCTTGGGTAAAATAGCAATCCCAAAATATACTAAGACAGGCAAAGAAGAATGAGGAGAGACACTGGACATTTGAGCATGATCTGAGGGTCAGTGCTTTATTTCTTTCTCTTAACCACAGTGAGAGCAGAGAGGCACCATTAACTGTTGTGCTTTCTCATGTGCTATGATGGGCAGTACCCCTGGAAGCACAGGAGTCCCCTCCTCTGTTGTGTCCTTGCTCCTCTCTTCTCTTTCTCCTCCCATAAACGGGACATGATGTCAAGTAAATTACACATTTTCTTTCCTGGATTATTCTTAAATTTTCTACTTAGAACCAACATAGGCAAAACCGTTTAGATTAACCAGCTGTGTTCATCTGGGATCTATATAGATGAACATAGCATTTTTTATATTTTTAATAAAGCCCTGAAGTTTATTAAAGTCCCATCATATAGGCCAACCCATAATATCCATGTGTTTTAAATCTGAGACTCTTTTTTATTATTTAATTTTTAATTTTGAGTGTTTCAATCAGTGTTATTTTATAAAATGTCATTCATATTAATATTTTAATTTACACTTAAATTTATATTTACACTTAAATTAATATTTTAATTTTTACACTTT